AAATACCATATGAGATCACTCATATGTGGAATCTAAAAAAAAAAAAGACAACAAATGAGCTTAAATATAAAAGAGAAACAGACTCACAGACATAGAATACAAACTTATGGTTGCCAGGGGGGAGAGAGTGGGAAGGGACAGACTGGGAGTTCGAGATTTGTAGATACTGACAGGTATATACAGAATAGATAAATAAGTTTATACTGCATAGCACAGGGAAATATATTCAAGTTCCTGTAGTGGCTCACAGTGAAAAAAAATATGAAAATGAATATATGTATATTCGTGTATGACTGAAAAATGGTGCTGTACACCAGAAACTGACACAACATTGTAAACTGACTATAATTTAATTAAAAAAAAAGTATATTAAGTCTAAAGAAATCAAATAATATAAAAACAGACAAATGAACAAACAAGAACCCAAGATCACAGCTAAATCTAAAAGCCAAAATTAAGAAAAACAGAATTAAAGCTTCATTTCATTTAAACACTGAAACCAGTAACTCAGTTTAACGTGGCTGATACGGTCATAACCAGCACTAGTCGCTTTGTTTTCATCAGTTTATTTCAGTATCTGCTGGTCTAGATCTATTGCTAGTATTCTGTAAGACTAACCACATAAAAACACAGCTAGTAATGACTTTATCTTTTTAAAAGAGCATTCATTTTACTTTCTAGTCTTAATTAGGTTTTCTCTCAAGTATTTGTCAACTGTAGTATTTCTAAAACAATTTTTTAAAGGTGATCCAAATTTTTTTGAAGTTCATTAGCATTTTTAGATTTGAATTTTTATGTAATTCAATTTGTAAAGGTTTTTCAAAAATATCTAAATGTCATCATTTAATCTAAGAATATGACATCTGTAGCAGGCAAATAACTGCCACTGAAAAAAAATCAACTCAATGACAATTACAAAGTTCGCTTATTACAAATTAACTTTTAATTCTTCACTTTAAACAATAAAATTCATAAAGTAAAACCTACTCAGAAATGTCCTTTAAAGACCAAAAAATTAAAATCAACTTGACCCACAGTCATTAGAGCTTCTGATGTAAGAAGCTATGGGGCTCCGGCTCAGAGACTGATTTCATGAGCCAAACTGTAGATGCTGCTAAAGACCCCCTCAGATACGTTCAAAGGTAAAACCACTTCCCCACTTATTCCAAATTAAAGAACGAGGCTGTGGGGAGACACGGAAGAGACGGCAGAATCACCTCTCATACTTTTCCCAAACTGCCTAAACCCCTACCGTGCCCCCTATTCTGAACCATCCCTTAGGGAACGCAGGCCTCGAGGAAAATGAACTACACCAAAACAAGCACCGCCACAGGAAGCCTCTGCCGCAGACAGCGAGGCCCTGCCGTCCTGAACTACTGCACTGAAAGCCGCAGGGTGAGCCAGCCGGACGCAGCGTCCATCATATGGTGGCACTCTCTGCTTATGAGCTAGAGACAGAAAACTCTTTCTAATCTAATATTTATATAACATTCAAAGACAAAGTAACTAGAAAACCACTTCTGTTCTGACAGCAAATAGAAGAATAAGCCATACATTTCTTACAGTACTTACTTTTCTTTCTGATGGAGGGATTCTGATTGATCTGCCTGTCTGGTTAGCTATGTCTAAGTACGGTGTGGTTTCTGGATCCACCACCATCTCAGCTGCAACAAAACCAAAAGGAACTCCACTAACTCAATGTTAAAAAGCCATGATGGTGACATTAAAAATATCAGACTGTTGGTGAAGAAGAGCCAACAAGAAATGTGATCCCGCCTCGCCCCGCCCCGTGTGAGTGATGCGCGGCCACCTCCAAGAACCTGCGCAAGGGAAGGAGTCTGAAGCCCTGTGTACCTCTCTCTGCCAGTATCTCCAGCCCTCTCTTAGTCCTCTGAATTCTTTTTTCTTTTAGTTTGGCTTCACATTGCTCTTCTTCTTCAACCTGGGTGTTTTTTCTCGCATCCTCTTCAGACTGCTTCAGTTCGAGCACCATAGCTTTTACATTGTGAGTCACTCCTTGATTCTCGAGTGTTTCTCCTGTAAACATCAGAAACACATTATAAAAAGTTATTAAATTTACTGGGGAAGAGATCAACCTCTATGTTAAATGGATTCCTTAAACCTGCATTAGCACTTGCAAACCACCATGCCACATAATTGGTAAGAATATGTTTGTTTTGTTGTTTTGGGGGGAATTAGGTTTTTATTTATTTATCCTTAATGGGGGTACTGGGGATTGAACTCAGGACCTTGCACATGCTAGGCATGCACTCTACCACTGAGCTATACCCTCCCCTAAAGAATATATTTAAACCTAGTTATTTAACTATGATATTATTAAGTACTGGTTAAAATCAGACAGTGAAAATGGACTAAATTAATCCTTTCCAATATTCTTATTGTAAGTTCAAATCAAAGCAATCATTGTTTCAGCATCTACTACAGAGGCACGGTGCTGGGTAATACAGAAGGAAAATGAGAAAGTCCCATACACAAACCCTCCCACCCTCTAGCTGGAGATGTGATAACCCAATTCCCAGCAATGGACTAGAAGTCAGAGAGCAGCAGCGCAGTGTGAGAGGTAATTTATTGAAGGAGGTGAAAACAAACACCTCGGGTTCCACCCCTTTTTAACTCTGTGGCCCTGAGTAAACCATTTATCTTCCAGGACCCTGTATCCTCATACATAAAATGGAAATAAAGACAGAGGCAGAAGTCAATGAAAGAGAATGAAAGAGAGTATTAACAAAATCAAAAGCTGACTCTACGAAAAAATCAATCAAATATACAAACCTAACAAAAATTAGGTCAAAGATGAAAATAAACAACAAATAAAATGAAAAAGGGTAAACACAGATCACAAACATTATAAAATAACAAAATGATATTATGAGCTATAAACATAGTCTGAACACATTTCTGGAAATCTCTAGTTGGATATACATACATATATATATATATATGTATATATTTGAGAAACCTGACAACCATTCTAACATTTATACTGAAAAGTAAAGATCTTCCAATAGCCAGGTCACCTTGATAAAGAAAAGCCAACAGGGGGACTCATCTTACTAGATTTTAAAACTAAAACAAAGACAGTAATTTTTAAAAATTTTAAAAATTAAAAAAAAACCTCTATGGTTCTGGCTCAGGAATAAACCTACAAGTAAATGGAAAGAACAGAAAGTACAGAAACAGAGCCCTAATAAAAGGGACACCAAAAATCAAGGTGGAAACTGCAAGTTTAGTAAGGGATATGGGAAGAAAAATAAAGCTGGATCCTATCTTTTATATTTAGAGGGGGTCTCTGAGTAGATTAAAGACCTCATACTAGAAAACTCAGAAGACTATGGGGTTGGGGAAAGAACTTCTTAAAACACAAACAATAAAGTGAAGAACTGATGGATTTGGTAACAAGAAAATCAATCACTCATATGTGGAATCTAAAAAACAAACAAACAAACAAAGCATAAATACAGAACAGAAATAGACTCATAGACATAGAACCCCCCTGTGGTTGTCAAGGGGGTGGGGGGTGGGAAGATATAGACTGGGATTTCAAAATTGTGAATAGATAAACAAGATTATACTGT